AGAGGTTGAGCGTCGACCCAGGAACCAAGAGGTCACTGGTTCGATTCCTGGTCAGGGCATATGCGCGAGGTGCAGTCTCTATCCCCAATGGGGGGCATGCAGGAGGCAGCCAATCAATGATGTTTCTCTTTCCTCCATGTTTCTGTCTCTCTATCTCTCTCCCTTTCTCTCTCTCTAAAATATCAATAAAAACATTAAAAAATATATAAAATAAAAATACAGGAGAGCAAACCTATTGCTCCAAGGAAGTACAGTGCTTCCTGCTCCCGAGGTCTGAAGGGCGTTTCTCCTGTAAGTCTTTAGAAACAAGGCACAGAACGATAGGGGCGATGGTGTGGCTTCTCTCTCTGGGCTTCTGCACTTGCTTCCCATTGGACTTGAACTCTCAGCCGGCTCTCAACTATCAAGGTATTACATACTGACACCTTTTATGTTTCAGTCCAGGATTACAGAGACCGAGAAAACTGGACTAGCATGTATGCATCCCCCACCCAGCAGATACTACAGATTTTCTTTGAAATTTATGCACTGAGATGTTTGCCAAAATCCTGCTTGAGTATTAGAACTTGGAACCCTCCCAAAGTGCCCAGAGCAGTATTTTGTTCTAGCCCATTTGGTGGCATGGCATTACTGCAATAATGCGTCACTGGAGTGCCCGACAGATTTCCTTGTCACCGCAGAGGAACTGCTTCCCAGAATCTCCCTTTGTGTCCCCTCTGCTGTGAAGTGGAGGGCTTGCGGCTTCATGCGCAGCTGTGACATTTTAAAACCTCTTTCCAAAGGGTGGCTGTTGCCTTGAGAACTATGTCCTGTTCAGTGTGAAAGAGCCTTTTATATTTTATATAATCATTTCTTTGGCAGAAGTATATTAAAAGAAACTGACCTCACAGCTTGTCTTTTTTAAATGGTTTTGGCTGCTGTTTTTTCTTTCCTCCCATGTCAGCTGCCTAAAAATTAAACAAGCATTTTATAGAAACTATAGTTTGATAGATAGGAGGTCTGGGTTGTCATAATCTTGATTATAATCAACAGGCATTTATTAAGTACTTGTCATGAACAAGGCACTCGGGTTCGTATGAATATAGAGAGTGCAGGCCTAGAGAGCTCTGGGTATGAATCCTAGTTCCACCACTTCCTGTGAGACGTTGTGTGAGTTACTTAACTCTGTGAGTCACAGAACAGAATGCATACTCTTTAATCCTAGCGTGACAGTAAATGAAATGATCTGTATAGTACTTGGCACAAAGTAGGCCCTGCTATGTTATGTTACATGATCTTAGTATTGTTCCCGTCTCATGATGAGGAGTGATGATAGCTGACACTTAAATAGCACTATTAATGTACCAGACGCTGTTCTAACTGCTTTACAACTGTTAACTCATTGAATCCTCACAGGCCTCTGAGGTGGGACTCAGCCAGGGCCAGACCGAGGTAATCTGGCCCCAGTCCATGCCCTTCATCATCACGCTATATTGCTTCTGATCTCTACCCTGCCTTTACACAACATGGCCTGAAGTTATCAATCTGAATTTTTCAGGGGGAAATGTGTAAAATAGTCTTTCTATGTGCGATAAGTTACCCAGTGTTTGGGCAAGAGTTAGAGAGAAATTGATCTTTGGAACAGGGAGTTTTCCCTTTGGGTTTAGATCTTGAGTCTCGCCTACAGTTTAACCATCTACCTCCCCCAAAGTCAAGACCCATCAGTTGTTTGCTACCTCCCCCAAAGTCAAGACCCATCAGTTGTTTGCTAAGCTTCTACTTCTGACCTTTGTGATCTTGGGCAGATTACTTCATCCTGCCAACCTTCAGGGACCCGTCTGGCAAAGGGGTATAATAATATCTACTTGCTAGAGTTGCTGCGATTATTTGGTAAGGTAACATATATAGAGTGCTTGGCACGTATGGTCATTCAGTATATGAGAGTCATCATCATACTAAGCTTCAAGGGGAAAGTCCTAATGCTACTTTCCAGAAACAAACTATTTCAATAGAAATATCTGCAACACCCAAGAAACAAGAAAGTAAATGTTGAATGATGGCATTTATGGCTTTGAGAGTGGTGCAGGCACTTGTGTTTAGGGATACAGAACCCTTCTTAGTACTCCCTACCTACCCTGGTTTCCCTCATCCATATTTCCCAGGCAGCTGCAGTGCCTGGAAGGAGAAAGTGTACAAAGAGACCAGCCTGAAGTCTACCCTAATGCAGACAACGTGTTGGCTCCCAGCAATCAGGAGAGGGGCGGCTTACTTTAATCCAGCTGTCAGGTAGACAGCTCGAGAAGCCCAACGCCCTGTACACTGCCCTCAAAGTCACAGGAAGCATGCTAGGTTGCAGGGTTACTTAAGATGAAAATATCGATCTACATAAACTGATAATGTCTAATTTGGATTAAATTTTGCATATAAAAGACCCATTGCAGATGCCATGATGTGTGATAATTATAGTATCCTCAGAAAAATGGCATAGTAAGAAATCAGAGGGCTTATAAGTGCATACAATGTTTACTAAATATAAAAGTAGCCTTTATTTAGTATAAGAAATGTGAAAAATACGAAATAACACCAAAGAGAAAGAAAAGCACTCATTTCCCCACTATGACCACTACTCACATTTTGGAAATAACCCTTCAGTATTTTTCCCCCTGTGACTTTACATATATTTTTCATAATTGCAGTCTTTCTGCACATATTGTTATAATTTTCTGTTTCATAAAGTAACATATTATAAACATCTATATATATAAAAGCCCAGCGACCCTTACAGTGGAACAACTGGTCGCTATGAAATGCACTGACCACCAGGGGGCAGACACTCAATGCAAGAGCTGCCCCCTGGTGGTCAGTGTGCTCCCATAGCGGGAGCACCACTCAGCCAGAAGCTGGGCTCACGGCTGGTGGCGGGAGCCTTTCCTGCCTCCACGGCAGCACTAAGGAGCGGCGAGCCAAACAGTAAGGAGCTGCCAGGCAGCAGTTAAGAGCGCGGAGTCCCAGGTTACGAGAGGGATGTCCAACTGCCAGTTTAAACATCCCCCAAGGGGTCCCAGATTGCGAGAGGGCGCAGGCCAGGCTGGGGGACACCCCCTTCTCCCCCCTGTGCACGAATTTTGTGTATCGGGCCTCTAGTGTTTTATAAGATTAAATATTTTTGCCACGTTACCATTAATATCTTCACAGTACTTCACAGTATTTTGTTTAACCAGGTATTTCACAGTATTTTATTACATCTAGGTTATTCCCTATCATGAAAAAATGATTTATTATAGCTAAACTTTGTACCCAGATATCACTGTAAATTCATAGAAGTGGATGTCAGTGCCTCACACACAGTGTTGCTGGGAGTTATTAGGGATGAGAGCTCATACAACAGGCCAGTGTCTTGGAAAGCAGCTTCGGGGGTGAGGATGCCCCAGCTGTGAACGTGGCTGTTAGGGAGGGGGAAGGAGAGGGTTCATAGGAATCTCTCACCAGCTAGGTTTTCTTAAAGTTCAGCTGGGCATGATTTTCTATGATTACTTCCACCATGAATGTGAAGGCTGCAATGACCAGCAGGAAGTGTGCCTGGTGATTGACAAATGTTATCACAGATGGGTGGCAGATACCAAGAATTACCTGTATTCCCATACCTTTATTTAATCTTTTTGAAATTAAATTGAACTATGTGTAATGTTGAAATGGGTACATTCTTGACCTGAATATAGTGTGTGAGAGTTTATAAGAATGGTGTAGACTTCTGAGCATGTACTTGCTTAAATACATAGTTATATGTGTTTTGAGCATTGTTTACTTTATAACAGTTTATAAGCTGTTAAGTATTGTAAAAAAAAAAAAAGGACTGAATGTATGTAAGAACTCTGAGAACTGACAGAGTGTTGAGGAAATTAAGTTAGAGAGCAGTTCAGGAATACCGTGAAACTACGTGCTGCAATGAGCATAGGATATGGGAGAGGAGAATGCCTGAGGTGAGTCAGATGCTCCTCCTGAGAAAGGAGAAGGCTGGCTAAGTGACAGCAGCGGAAGAACAGCCTAAAAAGATGTGTTCTGCCTGGGAGGCCTCTGCTGCTCCCTCCCATCTCTCACCTCTCCTGTCTGCAAACACGCCTTTCATGGCCAAAACAGTAAGAGTTTCTTACGCCTCTAATCTTTTCAGTAACCATTCACACCAGGAGCAGTCTTTTGACTCTGATCATTGGACCCGTTAGGTGTTATCTGAGAAGAACAAGATTGTCATTTGGCTTGACAAAGAAATACATGAGTAAATGTATAAAACACCCCAGTGTTTTATTAAGATCTGCCAGAACCCCCTGTGTGACAGGCATAGCTAGGATTCCAGTTTTCTAGGATTATTAAACCTTTATCTTTGTGTTTTCACAAATGTTTCAACAAAAAACATGAATCAGCATCCATTGTCTTTCTATCACCGTAACCCAGAAACTTGAGTTTTGTGTGTGTTTTTAAAAAAGGAATTTTTTGGGCTGTTATCATATTAGAGTTCTAAACATAACTTATTCCTGCTTATAATTGATTATAATCATTCTTATTTAATGATTATTAATAAGTATTTTTTTGTAGGAATGAGTATTTTTCCTTACTTAGAGTACTTACTTCCTTAGAATATATCATCTCTGTTGTTCATAATAAGCCTTCAAGGTGATAAGCACTCCTTATCAGGAAACAGGTTCACAAAAAAGGTAGGTTACCTCTCACATCTGAGAAACCATGTAGCTATGTTGTGATTCCAGGTCAGTCTGACTCAAAAGCCATCTACCTCTCACCTTGGGGAGAACTGAGTGAAAACAAACTCAATAATAGAACAGACACGTGTGTGAAACCTTGTGCGAAAAATACCCAAACTCTTTCCATCTTGGACAGCTAGACCCTCAAGACTAACGCCAGTGTTTTCCTAATGCTTTAACAGCTTTTTGCCGGTATGCGGGGTTTTTTCAATGTTAAATACACTGTTTCAGACTTCCTCCCCTCCTCCTGCCCCTTTGATCTTCCAGGCCCTCAGTACCGCCTGGAGAAGCAGAGTGAGCCCAATGTCGCCGTGGACCTGGAGAGCACTTTGGAGAGCCAGAGCGTGTGGGAGTTCTGCCTGGTCCGCGAGAACAGTACGTTGGCCTCCTTGCTCCATGCTTGTTTTGTCCGTTGCGAACATGCTTAGGAGTCATGTGTTGGGGTCACTAGCCCGGTTTACCGAGGCCCGTGGTCAGCAAACCGTGGCTTGCGAGCCACATGTGGCTCTTTGGCCCCTTGAGTGTGGCTCTTCCACAAAATACCACGTGGGGGCACGCACGTACAGTGCGATTGAAACTTCGTGGCCCATGCGCAGAAGTCGGTATTTTGTGGAGGAGCCACACTCAAGGGGCCAAAGAGCCGCATGTGGCTCGCGAGCGGTTTGCCGAGCCGCAGTTTGCCGACCACTGCCCTAGGCAGATTTCAAGTAACTGTTTTTCAAGGCAGACCTCAGCCTTCCTGCCAAAAGTGTATCCCAAAATGAAATGATTGACTTCATGCTTTTTTTTTTTTTTTTGGTAAAAAGTCTGCATCCTGTTTAGCCCTCTGTGATTTATATATTTTTTATTAAACTGTATCTTCCTAAATTTGGATCAGTCCTGGAAAACAGCTTAGAAATAGGAGGCCTTTTCTGAGGCGAAGGCTATTTTGTATAGAAGCAACTGGCCCTGTCACTATCACTGTGTAGACAAACGTCAGGGTTAGAAAATCCTGACCATTTGCATACTTTTAGCAGGAGGCAGTGTGGTGGTTCCTGGTGCTATCTTGTGAGCCTCTTTAAAACTGCAGTTAGTCTCCTTTCATCCTCCCTTCTGAGTTTCTGAGTTGTGAATCTTTGCCATTCCTCTCCTCTGTGCTCCCACTGACTTCAGGAGCAAGTGACATGTGGAAATGGAGATTGTGTAGCCAGCTCTCCTTCATTCCTGCTTCAGGGCCTTTACACAGGCCGTTTCTTCTGTGCGGAGCACTCTTATCCCACTCTGGCTGTTTGTGATCCTTCGTCTCAGTTTAAATGTCACATTTTCAAAGAGGCCATCTGTGGTCTTCCTTCCCCCCTCATTTGGGTCCCCCATTATACATAGAACATACTTTTCATTCATTGCATGTATGTTTCTGTTTATAATAATATATTTCCCTCAATTATCTTTCTCCCATAAGATTTTCCAGGTCTATGAGGGCATCCCTGATCCATACCAAGTTGCCCTTCATTAATTTAACCAGTATTTACCACTCACTATAGGCTATGTACTATAGAAGCTTAGTAAATATATAGGGTCAGGCAAAGTAGGTTTATGGTTGTGAGTACGTGAAACAGTTTATTCTTGTGTTATTTATAAATTATTGTATTATTTTCCATACGAATAACTGTAGACCTACTTTTGCCCCACCCTGTAGATTGAATGAGTGAATCAATGGCAGTTTTTTCGTCATGTCACTGACCCTCTACACAAGGCTGCTGCTCTTTAACCAGGGCCCTGACCGCCTCTTCTAGGGAGGCATGTGCAAAACTCACCAGGGAGGTGACGTGGGCTCAGTGTTACCAACATTTCTGCTTTTGGAAATCTGTCTTGAGAAAATATTTTATTTTATTTTTTTTTAAATATATTTTATTGATTTTTTACAGAGAAGAAGGGAGAGAGATAGAGAGTTAGAAACATCGATGAGAGAGAAACATCGATCAGCTGCCTCCTGCACATCTCCCACTGGGGATGTGCCCGCAACCCAGGTACATGCCCTTAACCGGAATCGAACCTGGGACCCCTCAGTCCGCAGGCCGACGCTCTATCCACTGAGCCAAACCGGTTAGGGCCTCATAACTATTTTTAAAAATTGAGTTCATGATTAAAAACCTTGCCACAAAGAAAACTCAATCCAAGACAACTTTACTGGCTAGTTTTAACAAATACCTAAGGAAAAAACGAATCTAGTCTTACATCAGCTGTTCAAAAGAGTAGAAAAAGAGGTTACACTCTCCAATTCGTTTTACGAGGCTGTCATAATCTTACCAAACCCTAATAAAGACCATACAAGACAAAATATTTTCAGACCAATCTTAAATAAATGCAAATATTCTAAACAAAATATTAACAAACTGAATTCAGCATTATATTAAAATAATGTAACATTCCCAAGTTGGTTTTATTCTAGGAGTACAAGGTTTAGTTTAGCAATAAAAAATCCTAGTCGGTATAATTTGCCACAGTAACAGATTAAAAGGAGAACAGCCATCTCAGGAGATGTGGAATACTGTTCAATCATTATAAGTTGTGTTTACCAAGAGTTTTCATTATGAGAAAAATAACTTTGATGTAATATTAAGAGGGAAAATTGTCAAGGATACAAAATAACACAGCTAGACTAATCTCAACTATGTAAAATCAAAACAAACAAACCAAAAAATGGAAGAAAAATTGGAAGGAAAATGCCAAAATATTAATAGTGGTTGTCTCTGGTTAGCAAGATTCTGGGTAATTCATTTTTCTTCCTCTTTATACTTGTACTTTCCAGAGATTCTAAAATAAGCATGCATGGCTTTCTAAGAAAAAAAAGCAAGCAAATAATAAGGGCAAGTTCACATAGATACCGATTACATCATGAGAGTGCCTCTTAGTTTCATAATCCTTTTGACTGATCACACCCAAGGAAGAATTATAACAACACATTCCTTTGTATCTTGCTTATCTGATTTTCTTACTTGATATAAATGGGTAATCCCTCCCTTCCTGTCATTTTCTTTCAATTCTTTAAAGAATCTCTCTCTCTCTTCCTCTCTCTCTCTTTTTCCCACTCACCCAAAGATGTGGGTTTTCTTAAACTGGTTTTAGAGAGAGAGGAAGGGGGAGGGAAAAAGAGAGAGAGAAACATCAGTGTGGGAGAAAAACATCTATTAGTAGCCTCCCGTACATGCCGAGGTGGGAGATCAAACCCACAACCTTTTGGTCTATGGGACAGCGCTCTAACCAACTGAGCCACCCAACCAGGGCTAAAGAGTCTCATCTTCTAAGCATAGCAGGGGAACTAATTCGCATAATAGGAACTCTGTAGTGAATTCTGTTTCAGAATGTTGACTCCTTGTTATATGAATAAGATAAAATTTATTTATTAGTGTCTTGGCATATATTTTGGATATGTAACACTTATTCATGTAAAAGAATTTTCCAGATAACAAAGTGTGTCTGTGGTGAAAACTCAGCCTCTCTCCTCTCCTCTAATTCCCTTCCCAGAGACAAGTTGTTCCCAGTTTCTTTGATAACTTTCCAGGGATTATCTGTGTATATGTAAGTATATTCTGTATATGTACATGAATACACACACACACATATATACAGTTGGCCCTCTGGATCCACAGGTTTAGCCTCTGCAGATTTAATTGAAAATATTCTTGCCTGGCCGAAGTGGCTCAGTTGGTTGAGCATCATCCCATGAACCAAAAGATTACTGGTTCAGTTCCTGGTCAGGGCACATGCCTGGGTTAAAGGCTCCATCTCCAGTAGGGGTTGTGCAGGAGGCAGCCAATTGATGTTTCTCTCTCACTCCCTCTCCCTTCCTCTCTCTATAAAATCAATAAAAACATATTTTTAAAAAGAAAATATTTTGAAAAAAATGTTATGTTATTGCTGACGTTTTCTATGTAATTAGGTCTACAGTGGTTGTACCTGTACTGAAACAAACTTTTTCTAGTCATTATTCCCTAAACAATATAGTATAAATATTTACATAGCATTTATATTGTATTAGGTATTATAAGTAATCTGGAGATGATTTAAAGTTTATGGCAAGGATGTGCAAAGGTTATATGCAAATGCTACACCATTTTATGTAAGGGACTTTAGCATCCAAAATTTTGGTTTCCACTGGGAGTCCTGAAGCCAATCCCACACAGATACCAAAAGACAACAAGAACGTATACACACACATTTGTATTCCTCTCTTTTAAAAAAACAAATGACAGCTGACTGTCATCAGTGTTCTCCATTTTTATTTTATCATTTTGACAAATATTATAGAGTTTATTCCACATTAATCCGCATATTATTTCACCTCTTTCTTTTTTTAGCTGTTGCATAGTATTCCACAGTATACTGTGACTCCAAATTAGTTTTTCTTTGTTTGTTTCTTTGTTTTTAAGATGAGGCCCAACTTTCTTATACGAGGAAAGAGAAGCTGTGAGAATTGATGGATAAAGCTTTGACATCTGGGCTCTTGTTCTTACTGCACTTCTAAACATGAGCTTAGTTTTAAGTAACTTGTGTGACATCTGTGAGCTTTGGCATTGCCATCTTAAAGGATTGGCAAGAAATTCCAGTTCTTACACTCTGAGTTAAGATTATTGTGGTAGTGAAAGAAGACTTTACCAGCATTTACAAAGGGCACGAGGCAGTGAATGGTTTGGAATCAATAGAATATTATAACTAGTTTTTGTAAAATGGAAGTAAATTATAAAAGCAGTTTGTTCTTTCTATAGAAAAAGTTTTTAAAATTTAAATAGAAATTTCAATCAAGAACCAAGTATTGTTCTCTAGTAGCTACCTATGAAAAAGTTGGATTGAGGTTTTTAAAAATTTCAAAAATAGAATTTTTTAAATCTTCCGTTGGTATATTCGATTAGGACAGGTTTGCTATCCTTAAAGCTAATTTGAAGTGGACTAACTTATGAGCATCTATTATGCAGTGTTTAAGAAAATTATATCAAAACAGACACTTCGCATGCTGCCCCTGACACTTACTAGGCTGTGTGAACTTGGACAGTTTAACTTCTCTATCTGCCCTCATAAGGTTGGTAGGAGGATTCAGTGAGTTTTAATAATCATAAAGCTCTTAGAATGGTTCCTGACACATAGTAAACACTCAATAAATGTTTTAAAAGAGCAGCATTCGAAGGGAGGGAGGGAGGGAGGGAGGGGGGGAGGGAGGGAAGGAAGGAAGGAAGGAAGGAAGGAAGGAAGGAAGGAAGGAAGGAAGGAAGGAAGGAAGGAAGGAAGGAAGGGAGGGCATATCTGTGGCTGACAGCAGAGAGGCCACAGTTGTGGAGGTCTAGAATCAGAACTATCAGGGCCCTGAAGGAAGTGTGTAATGGGGAGAGGGAGAGAGGGTG